GCCGCCATGAGCCAGGCTCTAGGCGACTGCTGGGAACAAGGGACCATAGTGCCCTGAAGGAGCTCCCAGCTCCTGCAGGAAGTCCAGGGCTGTCCTCTCCTGCTATGCCTGGATGCCTGCTTCCCACCTTCAGGGGCCAATGGGTTCCCTCCATCATGACCTCTCCACGGCATCATTTTTTTTTTTTTAACTTTTTTAGGAGCAACTGGAAAGAGGAGGAAAATCTGAGAGCGGTGCTCTGAAAACCAATCAAAGCAAATGTTTCTAGGAGTGGCCAAGCACGCAATGAGGATAATAGGTGGCTGCTGGGTGGAGTAAAGTAAGGACTGCAAATTGGTCCCCATTCAGCAAAATGAAGGTCCCTGGAGAACTTGACAAAAGCCATTTCCACCTGGGCATGGTGGCGCACGCCTGTAATCCCAGCACTTTGGGAGGCCAAGGTGGGCGGATCACTTGAGGTGGGGAGTTTGAGACCAGCCTAGCCAACACAGTGAAACTCCGTCTCTACTAAAAATACAAAAATTAGCCAAGCGTGGTGGGGGGTGCCTGTAATCCCAGCTACTCGGGAGGCTGAGGCAGGAGAATCACTTGAACTCGGGAGGCGGAGGTTGCAGTGAATCGAGATTGCCACTACATTCCAGCCTGGGCGACAGAGCGAGATTCCATCTCAAAAAAAAAAAAAAAAAAGCCGCTTCCATGGAGTGGGGAAGATCAATGTCTGATGAGAGTGAGTCCAAGAGAAAATGGGAAGAGAGGCCCGGGCGCGGTGGCTCAAGCCTGTAATCCCAGCACTTTGGGAGGCCGAGACGGGCGGATCACGAGGTCAGGAGATCGAGACCATCCTGGCTAACCCGGTGAAACCCCGTCTCTACTAAAAAATACAAAAAACTAGCCGGGCGAGGTGGCGGGCGCCTGTAATCCCAGCTACTCGGGAGGCTGAGGCAGGAGAATGGCGTAAACCCGGGAGGCGGAGCTTGCAGTGAGCTGAGATCCGGCCACTGCATTCCAGCCTGGGCGACAGAGCGAGACTCCGTCTCAAAAAAAAAAAAAAAAAAAAAGAAAATGGGAGGAGAGAAATTAGAGACAACTTTTTTGAGGAGTGTTACTGTGTTGTTGTTGTTGTTGTTTTTCCGACGGAGTTTCGCTCTTCTTGCCCAGGCTGGAGTGCAATGGCGCCATCTTGGCTCACCGCAACCTCCGCCTCCCAGGTTCAAGCAATTCTCCTGCCTCAGCCTCCCGAGTAGCTGGGATTACAGGCATGCACCACTATGCCCAGCTAATTTTGTATTTTTAGTAGAGACGGGGTTTCTCCATGTTGAGTCTGGTCTCAAACTCCTGACCTCAGGTGATCCGCCCACCTCGGCCTCCCAAAGTGCTGGGATTACAGGTGTGAGCCACCGCGCCCGACCATGTTTTTTCTTTTTCTTTCTTTCTTTTTTTTTTTGAGAGGGACTCTCTGTCTTCCAGGCTGGAGTGCAGTGTCCTGATCTCTGCTCACTGCATTCTCTGCCTCCTGGCTCAAGTGATTGTCCTGCCTCAGCCTCCTGAGTAGCTGGGATTACAGTTGCACACCACCATGCCTGGCTAATTTTTGTATTTTTAGTAGAGATGGAGTTTCATTTATTTATTTATTTATTTATTTATTTATTTATTTATTGAGAGGGAGTCTCACACTGTCGCCCAGGCTGGAATGCAGTGGCGCCATCTCCACTCACATCAACCTCCCCCCTCCAAGGTTCAAGTGATTCTCCTACCTCAGCCTCCCAAGTAGCTGGGATTACAGGTGCCCACAACCACGCCCCACTAATTTTTTGTATTTTTAGTAGAGATGGAGTTTCACTATGTTGGCCAGGCTGGTCTTGAACTCCTGACCTATGATCCACCTGTCTCGGCCTCCCAAAGTGCTGGGATTACAGGCGTGAGCCACCATGCCCAGCTGAGATGGGGTTTCACCATGTTGGCCAGGCTGGTTTTGACCTCCTGACCTCGGCCTTCCAAAGTGCTGGGATTACAGGCATGAGTCATTGTGCCTGGCCAGGAGTTTTACTGTGAAGGGAAGGAATGAATATAGTTGGAGGGGAAAGTGGCATCAAGGAAAGACTTTTTGTCACTAATAATAAATATTTCATTGAAATACACTATTCATATGGAACAGCCAACAAATCTTGAGTGTGTAGCTCAGTGAATTTCCACAAGGTGAACACACTGAAGTAATCAGCACCCAGATCCAGAAACAGAAAGTGGCCAGGCGCAGTGGCTCACGCATATAATCGTAACACTTTGGGAGTCCCAGACGGAAGGATCGCTTGAGCTCGAGGGTTTGAGACCAGCCTGGGCATCACAATTAGACTCCCATCTCTAAAATTAATTTTTTTTTCCCGAGACAGAGTCTTGCTGTGCTGCCCAGGCTGGAGTGCAATGGCATCATCTCTGCTCACTGTAACCTCTGCCTCCTGGGTTCAAGCGATTCTCCTGCCTCAGCCTCCCAAGTAGCTGGGATTACAGGCGTTCACCACCATGCCTGGCTAATTTTTTGTATTTTTAGTAGAGATGGAGTTTCACCATGTTGGCCACGCTAGTCTCGCACTCCTTACCTCATGATCCACCCACCTTGGCTTCCCAAGGTGCTGGGATTACAGGTGTGAGCCACCATGCCCAGCAAAATAAAATTTTTAATTAGCTAGGTTTACGGGTGCATGCCTGGTTCAGGCTACTCAGGAAGCTGAGGTGGGAGGATCACTTGAACCTGGAAGTTCTGTAGTGAGCCATGATCATGTCACTGCACTCCAGCCTGGGCCACAGAGCAAGACTCTGTCTCAAAAAGTGAAAAATGAATAAGAAACAGAATATGACCAGTTGCCAATATCCCCTTCATGGCCCCTTGCAATCACCACCATCTTTCTGAAAGGTAACTAGTACTATAACTAACTTTTTTTTTTTTTTTTGAAACGGAGTCTCGCCCTGTCACCCAGGCTGGAGTGCAGTGGCTCAATCTTGGTTCACTGCAACCTCCACCTCCTGGGTTCAAGCAATTCTCATGCCTCAGCCTCCATAGTAGCTGGAATTACAGTTGTGTGCCACCACGCATGGCTAAATTTTGTGTATGTAGTGTGTGTGTATATATATGTGTGTGTATTATATATGTATATGCGCGCACACACGTGTGTGTGTGTGTGTGTGTGTATATATATATATATATTTTTTTTAGTAGAGACTGGGTTTCACCATGTTGGCCAGGCTGGTCTCGAATTCCTGGCCTCAAGTGATCTGCCTGCCTCAGCCTCCCAAAGTGCTGGGATTACAGGTGTGAGCCAGACCTAAACAGCATGTTCTCTTCTGTGTCTTCCTTCTTATGTTTGACATTGATGTGAGATTCACTCCTACTGTGGGTAGTGCTTCTGTCCTTTTCATCACTGTATAAAATAACTTTGTTCTATTTACTGATTTAATTGTTGATGGGCATTAGGGTTGCTTTCTGTTTGGGGCTACAATGATTAACATGGCCATGAATATTTGTGCACGTGCATTTTGGCACATTTGAACTGTACTGTAGCTTCTGTGCCAACTTTTCCCTTCCCACAGCCTTCTGTGGCCACCTCCTCACCTTCCCACGATTTCCATGGTTGCCCATGACCTCCTTCTGGCCACCTTCAGTGACTCTCCTCGGTGCACCTCTGAACTATGGACTTAGCTGCTCCCTTGTGGTTTCTTTCTCAGCCCCAGCTTTGTGGTCCTGTCCCACTACATGAAGTCCTCAATGCTAGTGCTCCCCAGATCCAGGGTCCTAAAAACCCTTTGTACATCCTCAGTGGGCATTACCATCTTCATGCTAATCAACACCAAATCTGTCTCCTGACTACACCCCCTAGCCAGGCCACCAGCACAAAACTGAGCTCATCAAATTCCTCCAAGAATTATGTCTCCAGTTGTTGAAATGTTACATCCACCCAGGTACTTGAATCATTACCTAAGAATCATTCTAGCCTCCTCCCTTCCCTCTAGCCCCCTACAATCTTAACTCTCAATTATCAAAATCTGATGAGATCTACCTCCTTCAGGGCTCCCAGGGTCATTCCTTTCCTTCGGTCTCTGAGCCCCCACCTTGATTCAGAATCTCCCAGACTTTTGGGACAGCCAAAAGTCCTTGTTCCTCAGGCCTCTCCACTCTCCTCCACTGATCCACCCTAAAGCAAATCTGATCCGGTTATCACATACCCTCCACACCCTCCACTGTCCACAGGATAAGACCAAACTCTTCAGCAAAGTCCAATCCTTTCAAGAACTGTCCCTCACAGCCACTCCCATGTGCCCATTCTAGAACCGACTGGATCAACGCAGGAGTAGTTCCCGGCAAGTACAGCGCTCCTCCTCACCTCCTGGCTGCTGAGGACCCTTTCCTTAGAAAGCACTTCCCCCCAGCTCCAAGCTCCCCTTCTCCAGCAACCTTCACCTTCAGCTTTAATCTCCTTTGGGACGTGCCCCCCACTGTACTGCCTTCCCCAGTCTCCGCCCCTCCTCTCGGTGCCCACCGGCCCTCCGTGAACCACAGCTATTGTCATGGTAATAATTTCATTATTAGAAGGAGCTTTAAGCTCAGTGGACCAGAGCTCCCTGAGGGCAAGGGATTGTGGCATTATTTCAAGCACTGAATTTGTTCTAGTAATCCCTGAATAAACATATGTTGGATGAATGAATGCGGTAACAGGAATGTTGAGCCAAGTATTAAACCACACAAAACACAGGAGGAGAGGAAAGTATTCAGAGATACGACAGGGAGAACTATTTGAAACAGTTCACAGACCCTGTGAACTGTGCAGAGAGGCCTAAATAGCCTGGGGCTTCTGGAGGGAAGGGAGGTTCCTGGGTGGTGGAGCACTGGTGCACAGAAAAGCAGATGAATCCTGAGAGGGAGATTCCCCACTGTGAAGGGTCTGGTGTTGGGGCCAAAGGCTGGGGGCTTCCACCTGTCCATCATGGCTTTTCAAACTGTAGGGTTTTTTTTTTTTTTTTTTGGAGATAGGGGGCAGGGGGGTGTCTCACTTTGTTGCCCAGGCTGGTCTCAAATTCGTGGGCTCAGGCAATCCTCCCACCTCGCCCTCCCAAAGTGCTGGGATTATAGACGTGAACCACTATGCTCAGCAGTAGGTTGCAATTAAATCATGCACTTATGGCTCTCAAAATCGTTCTAGGAACTGCCACAGGTGCAGGGGCTATAAAAGTAAATACGCCCACTTAGAAAATGGGGATAATTCTATGTCACAGAGTTGTAAAGATTACATGAATTAATACAGATTAACACACTGGGAACAGCGTCAAGTGCATAAGCACTATGTAAACTTTAGCTATTATTTGCTATTATTGTATTTGCTGTTATTGCTCTCTAGGTGCTCCCAGGGGGCTAAGAAGTCGTGGGAAGAAAGAAATGATTCTAAGAGAATCCAGTAAGGGCTAGAATGGAAGTGAGCAAACAATGCTGAGGCCCACAGCACATGTTGTACTGCGGGGTTCAAATCCCATAAGGCCAGCAGCACCCGGGGTCTGTGAGCCCTCCAGAGTTGGGCCCTGGTGGTCGAGTCCAGTCCTGGGGGTCATTCCATTCCCTCCCTCATTATAAATTGGGGCCTGAAGGCCCGGGGCGGAAGAAAGGGGTCCACAATACTGCACGGTTAGAGGCCGAGCCAAGGCTGGATCCGGCCAGACCTACACAGCTCTTCCTTAGCCTCCACATTCCCTCAGGGTGTGGGGCGCCAGGTTGGGGGCGAGGTAGTGGAGGCCCAACGGAGGCCGAAGCTAACTGGACGGCGCCTCGCGATGAGAACTACGCTTCCCAGCATGCGACGGGGCAAGGGGGCCTTTCAGCCGCGAGCAGTGTCTCGCAGGGTCTGCTGGGAGTTTTCATTGACCTCTGATCCCCCCGCTCATTTTGATCCGCGCTAGTCCACTCTAGGCTCCGCCCCCTTCTGAGAGCGGATGACCTGGCAGAGTCCCGCGAGCCGCTTCCTTCTTCCCCTCTCATTGGCCCAGCCTAGCTGCCATTCGGTTGCGAGGAGGAGAAGTTGCTTACTGATTGGTGGATTCCGTTTGGCGCCAACTAGGAAAGGGGGGCGGGGCAGCAGCGGCCCCCACTGAGCTGCTATTACCGCGAAAGGCCAGATTGGCTGCGACAGCCTGGGTAAGAGGTGGAGGTCGGCTCGGTTTTCTGCTACCCAGAGCTGGGCAAGCGGGTGGGAGAACAGCGAAGACAGCTTGAGTCTGGGCCGTTGCCTCGAGGCTCTCGCCCGCCTTCTCTCGCTGACCCGCCGCGTTTGTTTGGATTTAATCTTCAGGTTGCCGGCGCCCGCCCGCCCGCTGGCCTCGCGGTGTGAGAGGGAAGCACCCGTGCCTGTGGCTGGCGCCTGGAGGGTCCGCACACCCGCCCGGCCGCGCCGCTTGCCCGCGGCAGCCGCGTCCCTGAACCGCGGAGTCGTGTTTGTGTTTGACCCGCGGGCGCCGGTGGCGCGCGGCCGAGGCCGGTGTGTGCGGGGCGGGGCGGTCGCGGCGAAGGCGGAGGAAGAGGGAGCTGGAGATCTGCGAGGCCGGGCGCCGCCATGGAACTGGGCCCGGAGCCCCCGCACCGCCGCCGCCTGCTCTTCGCCTGCAGCCCCCCTCCCGCGCCGCAGCCCGTCGTGAAGGCGCTATTTGGCGCGCCAGCCGCCGGGGGACTGTCGCCTGTCACTAACCTGACCGTCACTATGGACCAGCTGCAGGGGCTGGGCAGGTGAGGAGAGACCGGCGGGCGGTGTCCCAGGCCTCTGGCCTCGGCGTCGGCCTCGGGGAGATCAGGCCAAGAAACGGACCGGGAGAAGGGCGAGACCCTTCCGTCCGGGTTCGCCGCTCGGGGACCAGCCGGGCTAGGGCCCGCCATGTGCACCCCCGCCCGGGCGGAATGTTGGGCGGGAGAGGCGGTCCGGACCTCCCAGGGGAAGAGGTGGAGATCTCGGGCCTAAGCCCGAGCCAGGCCCACCTTCACCCATTTCGGATTGCTCCGTACTGTACTGCTGTCTGTATCCCTGGAAGCTCTTTGGAATCTACCCCCGCGGGGAAAATCAGGCTCTTCTAGGCGCTCACATTCACCCTTTGCTAAACCACCCTCAGGATCTTAGTTTGCTGTGATCTTTGTTCCTTCTCAATAAAGGACCATGGCATTTTCTTTCCTGGCGTTTATGTAAAATCATCTCAGTCCCTCGACCCGTGCACATTCCTGATGTCCACTCTGCTGCTTTCCTAAGGCCAGGTCTTTTTACCTAACTTTCTGAAAGCTTCCTGGGCTTTTCCTGATAGCAAAAAATGCATTCCACGGTGTTTCCGGCGGAAGAGCTACTTTCCCTTCAATCTCTGGCATCCCATTTGCTAAGCACATGTCTTGTGCATTTCCCGACTTCTGAAAAGCAGAAAGTACCCTGTTCAACTTTCATCCCGACTCTGTCACAGTACCTAGGACACATGCTCTTGTTTTAGGAAATACCCCAATATTTGCCATAGCCATCATAACCTGCAGTGTGGTCCAAGGCCATGCCCACCCACTCCTTTTTTCTCCTTTGCCCAAGTGCTAATTGGGTGTTCAGAGTGGCAAAGTGGGATCTTTGCTTCTTAATCTGCTTCTTAAAGTGGCTGCTGCTTAATCTCATGGCCTATCTCCTGCATGTGACCTTTTAATTATATCCTATAAATCACTCATGGTTTATTTCTGTTGGTTTCAGTGATTATGAGCAACCACTGGAGGTGAAGAACAACAGTAATCTGCAGAGAATGGGCTCCTCTGAGTCAACAGATTCAGGTATTTAAGTCTGTTGTGTGGGGAGCAATACTGTGAATTTCCTGAAACATGCCTTTTCACCCAGGAGGTTAGTTTTGGTTAGAACTTGAGGAAGTCACGGCATTGGGTGATAAACATTTTTTTTTTTTTTTTTTTTTTTGAGACAGAGTTTCGCTCTTGTTGCCCAGGCTGGAGTGCAATGGCATGATCTCGGCTCATCACAACCTCCACCTCCCGGGTTCAAGTGATTCTCCTGCCTCAGCCTCCCAAGTAGCTAGGATTACAGGCATGCACCACCACACCCAGCTAATTTTGTATTTTTTAGTAGAGACAGAGTTTCTTCATGTTGGTCACGCTGGTCTTGAACACCCAACCTCCGGTGATCCGCCTGCCTCGGTCTCCCAAAGTGCTAGGATTACAGGCGTGAGCCACCATGCCCATTGATAAACATTATTAAGAAGAATACAAAGGAGCCCTTATGGCTATTTATGAAGAAAGGAAATAGGCTTCGAATGTCTGTAAGGAGATGGTGTGCGCTTGCCCTTTAAGGATGGGTAGTAAAGTAAAATTCACCATACCACCGTAAGTGGCATTCAGGCAATCTTACTGGCTAAAATACAGGGTCAAATTATTGGAAGTACAGTGTCATGAAATCATTTCATTGATGCTGCTATGGAGGAAATTGCCAGTGCATTTCATTCTTCATGCATTCATATTACTGCAGAGTTTATCTGTATTTTTACAGATAAGACCGTTGGGGCAAAGATGCTTTAGGTTAAAGGAATTGGAAGAGCAAAAGTCCTTTTTTTTTCTGAGACGGCGTCTTGCTCTGTTGCCCAGGCTGGAGTGCAGTGGTGCAGTCTTGGCTCACTGCAACCTGCGCCTCCGGGGTTGATGCCATTCTCCTGCTTCACCCTCCCGAGTAGCTGGGACTACAGGCACCCGCCACCACACCTGGCTAATTTTTTTGTATTTTTAGTAAAGATGGGGTTTCACTGTGTTAGACAGGATGGTCTCAATCTCTTGACCTCATTGTCCCCCCGCCTCGGCCTCCCAAAGTGCTGGGATTACAGGCGTGAGCCACCACGCCCGGCTGCAAAAGTCTTAAAATGTAATGTAGGCTTCTGTATGTAGAATGTAATTTAATAGAGAACTGGGGATAGGATTATCATTTGTAGCAGTGTGGTGAGCAAGGGCTCTAACACTTCACTTTCCGTAAGGCTACATAGACATGTGAGCTATGGGTGGGTGGGTCTGCGTCATCTGAGCTGACATATAAGTAATGCTGAACAGTGTCTCCTTCACCCTGCTTCCTGTTTTGAGATGGACACCTTGGTGTCATTTTGTTAAAGGCAGCAAGTGCTTGCCTTGCATGTCATGACTAGTAGTATTTTTCATTTTGAGACAAGGTCTCAACTCTTGTCACCCATGCTGGAATGCAGTGGCCCCATCTTGGCTCACTGCAACCTCCGCCTCCAAGATTCAGACAATTCTCCTGCCTCAGCTTCCCTAGTAGCTGGAATTACAGGTGCAGGCCACCACACCCAGCTAGTTTTTGCATTTTTAGTAGAGACGGGTTTCACCATGTTGGCCAGGTTGGTCTCAAACTTCTGACCTCAGGTGATCCACCCACTTCGGCCTCCCAAAGTGCTGGGATTACAGGGGTGAGCCACTGCACCTGGCCTTTTTTTTTTTTTTTTTTTTTTTTTTGAGACAGGGTCTTGCTCTGTTGCCCAGGCTTCAGGCTGGAGTGCAGTGGCACAATCAGGGTTCACTGCATCTTCAACTTTACAAGCTCGAGCGAACCTCCCACTTCAGCCTCCCCAAGTAGCTGGGACTACAGGCACGTGCCACCACACCCAACTAATTTTTTTTTTAAATTTTGGTAGAGACAAGTCTTGCTATGTTGCCCCAGGCTCGTTTTGAACTTTGGCCTCAAGCCATCCGCCTGCCTCAACCTCCCAAAGTATTGGAATTACAGGTGTGAGCCACTGTGCCCGGCCTAGTAGTTGTATTTTTCAAACCCCATATGATTTGACAAGATAAAATATTTAAAAACTAGGCTGGGCGCAGTGGCTCACGCCTGTAATCCCAGCACTTTAGGAGGCCGAGGTGGGCGGATCACGAGGTCAGGAGATCGAGACCATCCTGGCTAACACGGTGAAACCCCGTCTCTACTAAAAATGCAAAAAATTAGCCGGGCGTGACAGCGGGCACCTGTAGTCCCAGCTACTTGGGAGGCTGAGGCAGGAGAATGGCAGGAACCCGGGAGGCGGAGCTTGCAGTGAGCTGAGATCGCGCCACTGCACTCCAGGCTGGGCGACTGAGCAAGACTCTGTCTCAAAAAAAAAAATTTTTTTTAAAACTATGCCAAGAAAATTTGGTACCTATTGTTTCTGTGATTGGAACTCGTAGAAAGTTATCTGGGTCACTTCTGTCTGAATAACCAAACAATCATGATATGAATCAGTTTTATTCACCCTCTTCTCAAATCCTATTTCTTTTGATGTTATTTGCAAATGGAGGAAAAACAGTAAATACACTATGAAAAAATTATTCAGACTTGTACAAACATGACATTTTTGACGATCTAATAGCCATGACATCAATTCTGGCAAAAGTACAAGCCATGAGTATTTGTTGCCTGACTTAAATAAAGACCCAAGTACTTTCTTTAGTGTTTTAATTTTAATGACAAAATGGTGTTTTTGTATTATTTCTTGAGAGGTTTTGTTTTGTTTTGTTTTTTTTCCATAGGTTTCTGTCTAGATTCTCCTGGGCCATTGGACAGTAAAGAAAAGTACGTATTCACTGCTTTTAAATGTTTGTACTTAGAAAGAACGTGTCTAAACTTAAATACCTTATTTAAATGAAGTTCTTCATACACTGACTGGAGCCCTGGATTTAGCTGTCCCTAGAAACACTCTGGAATCTCAAGAATGAATAGTTTGTGTCAGCAATTTTCAGAACTTTTCTCCCTTTATTTTAGCTATAATTTTGGTGTTCTGTTCGGGTCTTACCCAAACCCTTACTCTGTGCTCTGACATCATAGCCTTACAAGAACATGTGGGTTTTTTGTTTGTGGTTTTTTTTTTTTTTTTTTTTTGGAGGTAGAGTCTCACTCTGTCGCCCAAGTTAGAGTGCAGTGGCTCACTGCAACCTCCACCTCCCAGGTTCAACCAGTTCTCCTGCCTCTGCCTCCCGAGTAGCTGGGACTACAAGCGTGCACCACGACAGCCTGTTAATTTTTGTATTTTTATTAGAGACAAGGTTTCATTGTGTTGGCCAGGCTGGTCTCGAATTCCTAACCTCGTGATACACCCTCCTTGGCCTCCTATAGTGCTGGGATTACATGCAGCCGAACATGTGTATTTTAAGAAAAGACATGGGTTTGTTTTTTTCACCTAGAAGCCTAGTGTTAGGGGTGCTCCTGAGAATAAGACAGCTTCAGAAATTTATTCTCCCATCTCTTGCCTAAAATGGGAGTCTGTGACTATACCCCCAAGCTACAGGCTAAACACTGTCTCTCTGCTAATATGAATACCTCTTTACTTGTTTTATTCTCATTATTTACCTTCTGATCTCATTACAGCCTTGAAAATCCCATGAGAAGAATACATTCCCTACCTGTAAGTTAGTTCCTTGTTTATTTTGAGCTAATGCCTGTTATCCGTTCGTTAGTTACCAGCATGACCTTGATAGGACACTTAATTTAGAGAGTAAAAACGACTTTTCTTTAGTCTCTTTTTGAGACAAGGTCTTGCTGTGTCACCCAGGCTGGAGTGCAGTGGCAAAATCTTGGCTCACTGCCACCTCTGCTTCCCTGGCTCAAGTGATCCTCCCACCTCAACCTCCAGAGTAGCTGGGACTATATATAGGTGCACATCATCACACCTGGCTGATTTTTGTATTTTTTGTAGAGATGGGGGTCTCACTCTGTTGCCCAGGCTGGTTTCAAACTCCTGCCTTGGCCTTCCAAAGTGCTAGGATTACAGGCAAGAGCCACTATTCCCAGCCTTTCCTTAGTCTCATAAGTACTCAAGATGCTCGGCCTGGAGGAATTTGTCCTCCATCTCTAACAGAGCTTTATTAAACCAGGAAGGATTCTTTTGATGCAAATGTTATTTGGGGATTGATTTGGCACTGTAATCCCTGTTGAGCGGTGCGCTGTAGACCTTGTGAGGTTAGCTGTAAACCCATGGAATGGAAACTTCATTGCTGTGTCCTGGCAAGGTGGAGCTCTGGCCACATTTGCTGGTTACCTACTGCAGTGTGTGAGGAGCTAGCCTACCCCCTACTCAGCCCCCCTTTTTTCTTTTGAGAACTGAATTTTCCACTGAAATTTTATTTGTGTGCCTTAATTATTTTCTTTTTTCACTTTGATAGCAGAAGCTCTTGGGATGTAGTCCAGCTCTGAAGAGGAGCCATTCTGATTCTCTCGACCATGACATCTTTCAGCTCATCGACCCAGATGAGAACAAGGAAAATGTGAGCATGACTTCAATATACTAACCTGAGGCAGAGGTGAAACCCACAGGCTGTCAGTGGCTTAGAGATAAGTGGCTGGGCTGCTTTCTGGGAGACTAAACTTGGCCGTTATGTGCGGTCTTTGGAGTCAGAGAAATCTTGGTTTGGATCCTGCTGTATGACGTTGGCAAATTCTTCTCTTTTTAATCTTCTTTGTTCTTTTGTAACATAGGAGTAGTAATATCTTTTAGGGATGTGGCAATAAGTAAGATTATGTATGAAGTATTGAAAATGGTGCCTGACAGGCAGGAGTTGCTCAGATGGTAGCTCACAGGAGTAATTACATGTACAAATAGTGTTTGTCTGGAAGTCTCTGCCCAGGCTGTCCTTGCCTCTTTGCTCTGACCCTGAAATGAATTGTAAGCTTAGGAAAAGACTCTTTGGCAGTATTTGTAAGAACAGGGCTAACAAGTTTTAGGGTATCTCAGAGTAACTGAAATGGTGGCTTGGAAGGTGAATTTGTGGTTGTTTACCCTGAATGGGCCTGGCTTTTTTGTTCTCTTAGACATTGCACAGAGTAGGCATCCAAAACAGTTGTAATTTTTTCAGCCTTCTCTCTACTGTATTTCTGTATATTTACTTTCTCCCCTTTTCCATTCCTGCTAAAATGCCACAGTTCATAATCCTTAAAATCTTCCAGGTTTAGTGTAAAACCCACAGCCTCCATGAACTTTCCTGATGATTTCTTTATCAACTTGGGAAATGTCATGAGAAAGAATATGGAAATGAGTTCCTGCCTTGAGTGCTTGGAGCAGTTTATCAGCCTCTCATGCTTTTTACCAGGGCAAAGCTGTACTGATGCCTGGTTTTCCCCTGAAATGGCTTCTCTCAGGGTTGCTTGCTTAGAGCTTTGTTTTAAAGGGAAAACAGCATAGGTGGTGGTTAAAGAGCGCTCACTCTGGAGTTGTCCTGTTTTACTTCAGTATTTTGGGCACATTGCTTAACCTGCAAGGTCTAGTTTTCTCACCTGTAAAATCGGGACAATCAGGTTGTATTTGATGGTTAAAAAGTTAATGCGCAGAAAGTACTTAGTACTGTGTTGGCATAGAAATCACTGTAATATTAGCCATTACTGCTTTTTTTTTTTTTTGGTTCTGAACGTTTTTATTTCTCTCAGAACTTTAAGATGTGAACATTCTGTAATTCAGCCAGTCTTTACTTCCAGGTAACTTCTCACTGGGTCGCAATTCCCTTTTAAATAACGTACTCTTGTTCCGGAAGGTAGTTAGCCATTCATCACTCTTTCTGTCTAAATAACATCCAATGACAAATCCCACAGGGGCAAGAACATGAACCCAGTGGTCCCGCACAATCTGAAGTAAGTTCACCATGATAGCTGCAGCCTCAGTGCCGACAGCGACCCCGAGACCAAGGGCGATGGGGAACCCAGCCACCCATGCCAGTGCTAGCCATTACTGCTTTTAACACTTAATTATGAGTTCTTAAGTGAATATTTTAGGGCAGGGGGCCTGTGAGTGCTTTCATTCCATAAAGTGGAATCATACAATATATATTCTATCATATCTGGCTTTAACACATTATGCTTGTAAGAATCGTCCATGTTGAGTAAACCAGTAGGGCTTTTTTTTCATTGCTTTTAGTATAGAATAGAATAATAATTTTAAGTAGAAAAAATTATCTCAGTTGGTAGGAAGAGCTGGAGATATGAAGCCCTGAAACAGATGGATCTAGATGGAAAATTTTGACAACTATTCACAGGCAATTATATTAGATTTTATTTATTTTTACTCTAGATTTCAGAAACATTGTGATTTAGCTTATTTATCATGTTTTGTATATTTGGCTGATACTTGTGTTAGGAAATACAGTATGGCAAGAAAAAGATGTTACTTTAGAAGTTAGCTGTTGACAGAGCCTTGGATATTCTTAGTTACAGAGATCCATTGTTGGAATTAGGTGAAACTTTAATTTGGAGGCAGAAAGGTGAACAGTGCCCACTTCCTTGCCTCTTTCACCCAAGCTGAGGCCTGAGTTGGTTTTCATGGACAGTAGATGTCTCGACTATGTCTTGCAGGAAGCCTTTGAGTTTAAGAAGCCAGTAAGACCTGTATCTCGTGGCTGCCTGCACTCTCATGGACTCCAGGAGGGTAAAGATCTCTTCACACAGAGGCAGAACTCTGCCCCAGCTTGGATGGTATGTGCTCTGGCTTTCATAGGGGATTTCCTGATAGGAAGAAAGGATTAAAACACCTTCTTTCATCCAGAATTGAAGGCACTACAGTAGCGCTAGCTGTCTTTACCTTGACTTTGTCTTTTGAAACTAGACTGTCAAGCATTCTTGGTGGTTTTGCTGTGTCTGGAGAACAGACAGGCGGTAGTAAGAGTGGGAGATGGTGTTTGAAATATTGGAGTTGTGCAAGGAATATTTGACCTTGTTAATCTGGGAAATCCTGGGTCATCCTAAATGTATGTATGGTGGGATTAGATCTCTTACTATTTTTTGTTTGTTTGTTTAAGGGCTTTCTGGCAAAAACTGGAAAGCCTGCGAGACAAATTTTAAAAGAGCCATAACACTAGACCTCTTACTTAAAACTTGCTCTTTTACTATGCATTCTAAGTGCTTCTCAAAGAGCTGGAGAGAGAGCACTTGACTTCCTCCAAAGGTGGTTAAGAACAGTTATGGGCCAGGTGCCATGGCTCATGCCTATAATCTCAGCACTTTGGAAAACTGAGACAGGAGGATTGCTTGAGTCCTGGGCATCACAGTGAGACCACATCTCTTTTTTTTTTTTTTTTTTTAAAGAACTACTATAGATTCCAGTGAACGCTCAGGCTACTGGGCAGTTTTGGGGTCACTTGTTTTAGGGCTATGTATTTGCCAGACAGGGACTGTCATTACTTCTAAAGTTTCCTGCTGTTGGTCTGAATTGGATTAACTGATAGCATCTATAGATTGAAGACGCCCAACTTGAGCAGGATGACCACATTTGGCTTGCAGGTTTACCTAGGATCTTAAATCTGAAAATACACCTTTCCAATCTGGTTTGTGTTCTGAGGTTCAGCCAGTGTTGCTACTCTGTCTATTATTTGCACAAAGCACTTTTATATGTTCTTGTCTTGTGAAGTAAGTGGAGTTAACCCACTTGAACAGATTAGGAAAGTACCACTAGAGAGGTTTGGATGATGTACCAAAGGATATACCTAAGTGGGAAACCAGGATTTAATGATCTCTGGCTGGGTGCCGTGGCTCATGGCTGTAATCCCAGCACTTTTGGGAGGCCAAGGTGGGAGGATTACCTGAGGTCAGGAGGAGTTCAAGACCAGCCTAGGTAACATAATGAGACCCTATCTGTACAAAGTTAAAAAATAAGCAGTGTGGTGGCTTGTTCCTATAGTCCCAATTACTGGGAGGCTGAAGTGGGAGGATTGCTTGAGCCCAAGAATTCGAGGCTGCAGTGAGCTATGATCGGACCACTGTACTCCAGCCTGGACAATGAATTCCTGTCTCAATAAGCAATCTCTAAATTCCCAAGTACACAGTAACGCTTTAAGAGTTGGATATCAGAAACAATATATTTGGTGTGTGCTTAGCGACTAGAGCCTGTATCATATCTGCACCTAGGGATCCCAGAACCTACCTCACAAAAGTTGGTGTGATATAGTGTGAGCTTTCATGATAAAGGTACTTCCCCATAATAAAGTTATCTACTCCTAGGCTCAGCTGGCTAAAAAAATTTGCCATTTCCCAGAGTGTGGTCAGATGCACTTGGGGAGGACTAGAGACTGCCCAGAACTTCTTTTATATTGTGAAGCAAAGCTAATGCCAGAACCAGAATAGGCCAGCTGCAGAGAGGATTCCTTAGTGCATGATCCACTCAGAAACTCGAAGGAGGGCCACCTAGTTTACAAAAGATTCATACCCCAAAGAGATTTGGATTTTAAGGATTACTTGTAGGGCATAACATTGGGACTACCCTGCTACTGTGAAAAAACTCTAAGCTTTTTTTCTGAATTTGAAAGTGCCTAGAAAATAAAGAATTCAGTATTAGCAGTGTTTCTACTAGTAGGATTTATCTCCAGGTGTGGATTTATGAGCAGTTTTTCTAAATTTTCTATATTCCATGTTTAGAGGTTTCCCAAAAAAATATATGACTATAGGTTGGCTAATGAGGTACCGCCATTTTAATTCTGGGAATGGTTGTCTCCTAGGGAGATAGTGTAGTGAGAAGAGTTTGGATTTTGGAGTCAAACACGTGAGGTGTATAATCTTGGTAACCTCTCTTAAGCACGAGTTTCCTGATTTGCTAAAGGAAAAGGAAAGGATTACTAGCCTCACAATTAGCTAGTATATTGTGAGGCTTCTATTAGATTATATGTATAAAGATTCGGCCGGGTGCGGTGGCTCAAGCCTGTAATCCCAGCACTTTGGGAGGCCGAGACGGGTGGATCACGAGGTCAGGAGATCGAGACCATCCTGGCTAACACAGTGAAACCCCGTCTCTACTAAAAAATACAAAAAACTAGCCGGGCGAGGTGGCGGGTGCCAGCTACTCGGGAGGCTGAGGCAGGAGAATGGCGTAAACCCGGGAGGCGGAGCTTGCAGTGAGCTGAGATGTGGCCACTGCACTCCAGCCTGGGGGACAGAGCAAGACTCCGTCTCAAAAAAAAAAAAAAAAAAAAAAAAAGAACGAGGATAGATTTTATAGAAGGAAGTTACCTTTTATTCCCCCCGTCAGAACTGAAGTTATATGTAAGTGCGTTCTCTAGGCCATTTTATGCTCTCAGTAGAGATTTGCATCTGCTTGCCCTAACTCATTTCAGCAGATTCTCATACTGTCAGAGTCCTCAGTGCTGATCGGTGTTCACTGATGCAACCTCCTAATAAAAGAAACCTTGTTCTTCACAAGAGGCTATCTCTAGTACCCATTATAAGGTGAATTGCTTCTGGCAAGAGTTCTCTGTGAAGGCTACTGACTACTCAGGGCTGTGTGTGGACATCAAATCATTTATAATCTTGGGATACATTTTCCTATAATCAGTAATTGCTAAAATATTACTTAGTGTAACAAGTATAACATAGTATGTTTTCATCATAGAAACTAGTGACCCATTCAAGGAAATCAAAGTGGACCAGAGCTCTCATTTATTATTAATCCATGAATTTTGTCTTACAGCTTTCCTCAAATGAAAGAGATAGCAGTGAACGAGGGAATTTCATTCCTCTTTTTACACCCCAATCACCTGTGACAGCCACTTTGTCTGATGAGGATGATGGCTTCGTGGACCTTCTCGACGGAGAGAATCTGAAGGTACCGTGTATGTGTGTGCGTGTGTGTGTGTGTTCCTATCTATTCTACTAATTACCTCTGGAGAAGTCATGTGATGTGAAAAAGAACAGCAACAGCAATTCCCGGGGGCTTGCTTAGCCGATACTTTTGTTCATGTGGTGATAATTCATTTAATAATAGGGCTACTAGCCTTATTAAATCCTTTGGGTTGGGGGATGGGGGTATCAAAAGAAGACATATGATCCTTCTTACCCTGAAGGAGCTAACTAACAGTCTTATATGCAAGAAATATGAAATCAGTCTATATGCAGTTTCTATGCAAGAAACATGAAATCAGAATGGTATAGGATGGTACATTAAGGATACTTCCCATCCAGGCCTATTCGTATTCTTCAGGGAGAAACACACCTAAAGCATTTAAACTAATGTTAGTCTCTACAGGATCTTTTTAAAATCAATTTTTCTGTTTTTTTAGAATGAGGAGGAGACCCCCTCGTGCATGGCAAGCCTCTGGACAGCTCCTCTCGTCATGAGAACTACAAACCTTGTGAGTTGTTTTAGTGTGTCTGGAGGAAGCCCTGAGTGATTGGGGCACTGGACAGAGTAGTCCTTAGTTGAGTATAGCCAAAGATTGAAATGAATGATAGGATTTGGGGACCTGGGTTTTAGGCCTCAGTTTGGCTACCTACAAACCTTTAGTGATGATATCTCTCTGCATGTCTCCTGATCTATAAGGAGTGTGGGTTAGGCGGGACCATGGTCATTCCTGGCTTTTACCATCTAGTCAGTTTGAAAAAAGCCTATCTGAAGCCTTTAGCCTGAAGACTTTACTTTTTTTAGGTTATTCTCATTCATATTCCACAGAACCTAGCATAAAATTAGACAAGCAACAGTAACTCACAGGGTTTTTTTGTTGTTGTTGTTTTGTTTTGTTCTGTTTTATTTAAGACGGAGTCTCATTCTTGTTGCCTAGTCTGGAGTGCAATGGCACAATCTTGGCTCGCTGCAACCTCTGCCTCCCAGGTTCAAGTGATTCTCCTGCCTCAGCCTCCCAAGTAGCTGGGATTACAGGTGCCTGCCACCACACCCAGCTAATTTTTGTATTTTTAGTCTCGAACTCCTGACCTCAGGTGATCTGTCCACCTCAACCTCCCAAAGTGCTGGGATTACAGCCACTGTGCCTGGCTGGATTTTTTTTTTTTTTTTAATTGAAAATACCTACCTGAGGCTGGGTATTTTCAGGTAGATATTTTCAATTTTAAAAATAATTTATTTTTTTATATATATATACACACACACATATACACAAACACAGTATAGATTTGTGTTTCCATCATAGGGATACTTTCAAACAGAAAGCATAGTGTAGATACAGAATCTATAGTGTATGTGTGTATATATATTCAAAATAACATATATATACACACACACACACTAGATTCGTGTTTTCATCATAGGGATACTTTCAAAGTTAGAAGCAAGAATGTTCCTACACAGATATATACACCTGTATATTCAGAGATACACACCCTTAGGTACACATCTAAATTGATAAGTTCATATTTTTTAATTATCAATAACCTGAACTATAATTATGGAACAAATGAGCTACAGTTTTTTTGTTTGTTTGTTTTGTTTTGTTTTTGAGACAGAGTCTCCTTCTGTTGCCCAGGCTGGAGTTCAGTGCAGTGGTGCAATCGTGACCTGCTGCAACCTCTGCCTCCTGGGTTCGAGTGATTCTCCTGCCTCAGCCTCCTGAGTAGCTGGGACCACAGGCTTACGCCACCACTCCCGGCTAATTTTTTTGGTATTTTTAGTAGAGATCAGGTTTCACTATGTTGGCCAGGCTGGTCTCAAACTCTTGACCTCAGGTGATCCATCCACCTGTCTCCCAAAGTGCTGGGTTTACAGGCATGAGCCACCGCACCCAGCCAAGCTACAATTTTGAAATCACTTACGGATTATAATACATTCATGTGCATAACTTTTGAGAAAATATGTTAACCCAGTACACATGTTATGAGTAAATTTACCAGGTCATTTTGATAGGCATACAATTACATAAAATGTGAGAACACTTTGGAAGTGGCTATTAGTTTTATAGATCTGATTTTAAAATCATAAGCATCGGCTTGTAAGCTCTTAATAGTGGGGAAATTTCTTCCACAAATGGTTGTTACAAACTAACCATTGCTGGGAGCCGTAATGGTAAATAAACTCAGACAAAAGAGGGAGAAAATCCCTGGTCTCTGGGAGCGGATGTGGGAGTGATCTGTTCCATTGGGGACTATCAGGAAGATTTCAAAGAAGTGACATTGAAATGTTAGCATTGGCCAGGTGCAATGGCTCGCGCCTGTAATCCCAGCACTTTGGGAGGCCGAGGCATGCGGATCACGAGGTCAGGAGATCGAGACCATCCTGAGTAACACAGTGAAACCCCATCTCTACTAAAAATACAAAAAAAAAAAAAAAATTAGCTGGGCGTGGTGGCGGGTGTCTGTAGTCCCAGCTACTCGGGAGGCTGAGGGAGGAGAATGTCGTGAGCCCGAGAGGTAGGGCTTGCAGTGAGCCCAGATCGCGCCACTGCACTCCAGCCTGGGCGACAGAGCAAGACTCCGTGTAAAAAAAAAAAGAAAAAAAAATGTTAGCATCAACTTGAAAATGAATGGTTTACTGAGATGTGAAAGGATATTCTGTGCAGAAGGAAAAGCCAGGCCAAGACACATGGAGTCGAGAATAGGCTGAGATGCGTTTAGAGAGCTGATTCTCTCTACCACTGGTCAGGTTGGCTTCCCTTGGACTCTGGAAAATTCGTCTTTGTTTATTTTTTTTTGAGACAGTCTTGCTCTGTCACCCAGGCTGGAGTGCAATGGTGCAATCTTAGCTCACTGCAACCTCCACCTCCTGGCTTCAAGTGATTCTCATGCCTCAGCCTCCTGGGTAGCTGGGATTAAAGGCAAGCACCACCACACTTGGCTAATTTTTTTGTATTTTTGGTTTCTTCATGTTGGCCAGGCTGGTATTGAACTTCTGACCTCAAGTGATCCACTGTGTTGGGATTACAGGCGTGAGCCACCACGCCCAACCTGGGAAATTAGTCTTTAAAAGACCAGTAGAAAAAAAGACTTTGAACACAATTTCGAAAGGCGTTTGCTACTAGCCCATCCCCACTCCCTCCAAATTTACCATCTTAACTGTACCTTAACCGATCATGCCCCCATTTTTATTATAACCTGGCTACGGTGCATCTTTTCTGGATTTAGGTGGGGTATTTAAACCCATTGAGCTGCTTAAGCAAGGTGCAAGTAATAAAATGGAGGGGAAGATAGGCAAGCCAAAAATGTGTTCCTGACTGGAAGGTCACACTTCTCTTGACGCAGGATTATTTAGACAGTTTTTGTGAGGGCAAAGGATGTTTTACTCGTCTGTATATAATGTCAGCTGAGTATATATTCATTGAGCACTAAGTGCTCAGTGCCTGCTATGTGCCAGGCCCTATGAGAGTTGCTAGGACTAAATGAATCAGCAGTGCCTGTTTGCTAATTTAGAATGGTTTGTCTTACCATTCAAGTGAACAGGTTTTAATGAAAGATGGGTCTGTCTGTTTTTTTTCCTGTAAGGACAACCGATGCAAGCTGTTTGACTCCCCTTCCCTGTGTAGCTCCAGCACTCGGTCAGTGTTGAAGAGACCAGAACGATCTCAAGAGGAGTCTCCACCTGGAAATACAAAGAGGAGGAAGAGCATGTCTGGGGCCAATCCCAAAGAGTCAACTAGTCCAGAGAAGGCCCATGAGGTTAGTTTCCTAGGTTCCTTTTTGCTCTAGCACAGATAATGTATTTTTCAGTTCTAAAAACTTCCACTTAGTGGTTCATTTATTTTCTTAGGTAAGTTTTGCTGGGGTTTTTTGTGTGTGTGTGTGTGTGTGTGTGTGTGTGTGTGTTTCTTTTAACAGAGATGGGATCTAGCTATGTTGCTCAGGCTGGTCTTGAACTCCTAGCCTCGAGTGATCCTCCTGCCTTGGCCCCCCAAAGCACTGGGATTACAAGTGTAAGCCACCACACCTGACTGATACTTGGCTATTTTCATGTTGGTTTTTCAATTGCTTTGAGTATGTTCATAATTGCCTGTTGAAGCAGTTTTAAGATGGCTGTTTTAAAATCAGACAAATCCAACATCCATTCATAGTATTGGTATCAATTGATTGTCTTTTCCTATTCAAGTTGAGATTTTTGTGGTTCTTGGTATGACCAGTGATTTTTCCATTGTCTCCTGTATATTTGTGAGTCTCGGGTCTATGTAAATCTTACGTTTTAGCAGGCCTCCTCTGATACTGCAAGAAAGGTGTGGGTGGAAGTCCGGGTTCCCCAGCACAAACTCCATTGACACCTTGGGTGGGGACTTGTCTCATTATTGCTGGGAGGGAGCAGAAGTTCATTCCATCCCAGTAGAGTGGTGACTGGGGCACTGTATGACAGCTGGGCAAAGGTGGAGGCCCCCGCTTGCTGTTGGCCATAATTGTTTCTGTGTTGACTGTAGTAGAATGATTATTGTTGAAAAGTCTTCTGCCTCAGTAGGCTATCCTTTGCCTAAGGAGAGCAGGCTTGCTGTGTTGCTGTCTCCAGCTTCATGAATTGAATGGTTAACTCGTTTGTTTTTAATTTTCTTATTTCTGGATAAACCTATTTGAATCTATGAATTTCCCACTGCTTTAGATTTGTCTCATAACTTTTGACCTGAAATGTTTTTATTATCATTTGTTGTAGATATTTTATTTCCTTTTAATCCAGACCTATCATGGCCTATTAAATACTTGATTTTTATAAAGGTCTGTCTAATTCTTCAAGTTAATTCATTGCATTGGTCATAGTTGTATGGGCTGTTTTGTTGTTTTCTGTTTCTGAGACAGGGTCTCTGTCACCCAGGCTAGAGTGCAGTGGCATGATCTCAGCTCACTGCACTCTTCACCTCCCAGGCTCAAGCAATCCTCCCACCTCAGCCTCTCAAGCAGCTGGTACTATAGGTGTGTGCCACCAAACCCAGCTAATTTTTGTATTTTTTGTAGAGATAGGCTTTCGCCGTATTGCACAGGCTGGTCTGAAACTCCTGGGCTCAGGTGATCCTCCCTCCTTGGCCTCCCAAAGTGCCGGGATTATAGGTGTTAGACATAGCGCCTGGCATGGGTGAACTAGTGTGATGGTTGTCTGGGCCTAAGTCCTATGGTCCTTTATGTTATTCTGTTTATTCCTTGGCTAGACACACAAAACACTGGTTTATTTGTATGTTTTTCCTTCATTACACTGTCCTTATATTGAGGTTTGGTATTAAGCATTATAAAATGGTGAACTGCCTGTGTTTTCTGTGGCATGAAAAGGTTTAAGTAAATTGCAGTTTTAAAAGGTTAGAGAGATGACAGCTAAGAAAACATTTAGGCCTACTGCCTTATCGTATCTGCTTTTGTTATTAATGCTTTATGAACATTTTCTCTTTAAAGTATTGTTCTAAAAGAATATTTTAATAGCTGCATAGTATTTTTGTTTGGGGAGACTTGTTTGGTTTTTGTTCTTTCTGTTTGTGGGGGGCACAGGGTCTAGTGCTGTCGCTCAGGCTGGAGTGCAGTAGCACAATCACAGCTCAGTACAGCCTCCATGGGCTCAAGCACTCCTCCCGCCTCAGCCCCCCAGCAGCTGGGACTACAGACATGCACCACCATGCCCAGGTAATTTAAAAAATCTTTTAAAAATTTTTTTGTAGAAAAGAGGCCTTACTGTGTTGCCCAGGCTGGGCTTGAACTCCTGGGCTCAAGCAGTCCTCCCACCTCAGCCTCCTAAGTATCTGGGACCACAGACACGGGCCAGTGCTCCTGGCTGATAGTGTTTCAACTTTCAAGTATACTATAAATAATTGAATAAATCTAATCTTCTGGACATTTAGAATTTCCCTTCCCCTGATTTTCCTTTTATTTCTAATTAAAAATGAAATTCTGGGTTATAAGGGCAAGAACATTTATGAAACTTTACATTGTATACATGTCAGACAGTATCTATCAATATTTAAGAATATTCAGGCCGAGTGCGGTGGTTCACGCCTGTAATCCCAGCACTTGGGGAGCACAAGGCAGGTGGATCACGAGGTCAGGAGTTCCAGACCAGCCTGGCCAATATGGTGAAACCCCGTCTCTACTGAAAATACAAAAAATAGCTGGGCGTGGTGGTGTGCGCCTATAATCCCAGCTGCTCAGGAGGCTAAGGCAGGAGAATCGCTTGAACCTGGGAGGCGGAGGTTGCAGTGAGCAGAGATCATGCCACTGCACTCTAGCCTGGGTGATAGAGTGAGACTCCATCTCAAAAAAAAAAAAGGTTTCATTTTCTTTTTCTTTCTTTTTGAGACACGCTGGAGTGCAGTGGCAGGATCTTGGCTCACTGCAACCTCCGCCTCCCCGGTTCAAGCAATTCTCTGTCTCAGCCTCCTGAGTAGCTGGGATTACAGGTGCCCGCTGCCACACCTGGCTAATTTTTTGGTATTTTTAGTAGAGGCAGGATTTCACCAAGTTGGCCAGGCTGGTCTTGAACTCCTGACCTCAGATGATATATCCTCCTTGGCCTCCCAAAGTGTTGGGATTACAGGTGTGAGCCACTGCGCCTGGCCAGAATATTCATTTTCTTTTATCATAATAGAGATTGACCTTTTTATTTCCATATTTGTAAAACTTTTCTTGGATAAAACAATACTGTTAATAATTATTATGTATATATGTTGGCCCTCATGTTTTGGTTTATTTTCATATATTTTAATTTTTAAAAATATTTTAAATTTAAAGTATTTTAAATATAAAGTATTTTAAATTTCATTGTGGAGAATATGTCAAGCATTGCTTGAGTACAGTTATCATACCTGTGATATTACGAAATATATGTTTAGTCTTCCTCCCCTTCTCCTGTCATATAACTCCTAAAATCCTTGGAATATCCAAGGTCATATCTTTTTGTATGCTGATGTATGCTTCAGGATGGGACTGGTCAATGGAAAGACAGACATGATTAGAGGTTGGAACTTTCAGCCCCATACTCCAATCTCTAGGGAGAGGAGAGGGGCTAAAGGTCAAGTTGATCACTCAATGGTTTAATCAATCATTTCTGTGTAATGAAGCCTCCATAAAACCTTGAAAGGATAGGGTTCAGAGAGCTTCTGGATAGCTGAACACATGGAGGTTCCTGAAGGTTGGGGCACCCAAGGAGAGTGTTGCAGCTCCATGTCCCTTCTCCCATACCTTACCCTATGCATCTCTTCTTCTGTATCCTTTGAATATCCTTCATAATAAACTGGCAAATGTGTTTTCTTGAGTTCTATGAGCCACTTCTGGCAAATTAAAGCCAAAGAAAGGATCATGGGAACCCCCACTTAAAGCTGGTGGTCGTAGATCAGAAGTTCCAGAGGCCCAACTGGTGTCTGAAGGGTGGTGCGGTTTTGAGAACTGGGCCCTCAACTTCCTGATCTGACACTCTCCAGGTAGATAGTGTCAGAATTGAATTGGACAACACCCAGCTATTATCCACTGCAAAACTGCTTGCTTGCTTGCTGGTAGGGAGAAATCCCCTCATATCTGGGGGTAACAGAAGTCTCTGTCTTCTGCTGTTGTTGGGTGAGGGAATAAGAAAAATACTTTGAGTTTGTGGGGTGTTTTCCTCATAGAAACATATACAGGGCTAAATTTCTGGTTTGTTTCTTTTTTTTTTTTTTTTTTTTTGAGACCGAGTCTCACTCTGTCACCCAGGCTGGAGTGCCATGGCTCGATCTCCGCTCACTGCAACCTCCGCCTCTCAGGTTCCAGCAATTCTCCCGCCTCAGTCTCCTGAGTAGCTGGGACTAAAGTCGCCCACCACCATGCCTGGCTAATTTTTTATATTTTTAGTAGAGACGGGTTTCACCATGTTGGCCAGGCTGGTCTTGAACCCCTGACATCAAGTGATCCTCTCCCCTTGGCCTCCCAAAGTGCTGGGATTACAGGTGTGAGCCACCACGCCCGGCAGAGCTAAATATCTTATTATCAAATGTCAAATATCCAGTCTGGGTTCAGTTTTCCCCAGTTGTCTCCTAAGCACTTTTATAGTTTGTTAAAATCTGGATCCATATAAAGTCTATACACTGTAGTTGGTCAATAGGCCTTCTTACTCTTCAGATTTCAGTGCTCCATCTGTTTCCCTCTTGCATATTTTTATTTGTTGAAGAGCTCAAGTCATTTGTCCTGCAAAGGTTCCCATAGTCCTGTGGGGTCTTCAGACATTGTCTTCCATCCCCTATATTGCCTTAAAAACCTAACTCTGGAAAGGATGGATTGAATTCCAGTTTTATTTGTTTGGCAAGAATATCACATAGGTGATTTTGTCTACTTTGATCAGGAGGTATAATGTGCCGGGCAGCCATTGGTGATTGCTGCCCAGATTTTTTACTTCATTTCACTAGGGTTTCAGAAAGATGATACTGCAGTTTTTATGTTCTTTCCTCATTAATTAGCTAGAATATATCTATAAAGAGAAACTTACACTCATCAAACACTGTGGTTACCCTTGGGAAAGGCAGGATGAATATTGGATCTCTATTTGCCAGTTTCCAAATAATGCCCTACCAAGCATCTTCCAAAGTTGAAAGCAAGACTTATAGTTGTTTTTCAATAATAATTAGGAATTCATGGATTAAAACATTTGATGTGGTTCTGTGTATTGCACATATTGTCCTTTTGCTCAAATTATCCCTTTAACAGCTGGCTTCCTCTTCTCATTGAATAAAGCTAAGACATAGGCCAGGCGCGGTGACTCACACCTATAATCCCAGCACTTTGGGAGGCCAAGGCAAGCAGATCACCTGAGGCCAGGAATTCAAGACCATCTGGCCAACATGGTGAAACTCCGTCCCTACTAAAAATACAAAAATTAGCCAGGCATGGTGGTGCGCACCTGTAGTCCCAGCTGCTCCGGAGGCTGCGGCAAGAGAATTGCTTGAACCTGGGAGGCGGAGGTTACAGTGAGCCAAGATCATGCCACTGCACTCCAGCCTGGGTGACAGCGAGACTTGTCTTAAAAAAAAAAAAAAAAGCTAAGACATACTTTTTCTAAACTTAGTCCTAGTTTTGTTTTTTTTTTTTTAATTTTTTTATTTTTTTTTTGAGACGGAGTCTCGCTCTGTCGCCCAGGCTGGAGTGCAGTGGCCGGATCTCAGCTCACTGCAAGCTCCGCCTCCCGGGTTCACGCCATTCTCCTGCTTCAGCCTCCCGAGTAGCTGGGACTACAGGCGCCCGCCACCACGCCCGGCTAGTTTTTTGTATTTTTTAGTAGAGACGGGGTTTCACCATGTTAGCCAGGATGGTCTTGATCTCCTGACCTCGTGATCCGCCCGTCTCGGCCTCCCAAAGTGCTGGGATTACAGGCTTGAGCCACCGCGCCCGGCCACTTAGTCCTAGTTTTAACCCCCCTTGTTTCTTTCTCTTTTTTTGGAGATAGTTTCCCTCTGTCACCCAGGCTGGAGTGCAGTGGCACCATCACCACTCGCTGTAGTCTTGACCTCCCCAGCCTCAGGGTGATTCTCCCACTTCAGCCTCCCAAGTGGCTGGGACTATAGGCACACACCACCATGCTCAGCTTGTGTGTGTGTGTGTGTGTGTGTGTGTGTGTGTGTGTGTGTAGACAGGGTCTTGCTGTGTGATCTGGTCTGGAACTCCTGGGCTCAAGCGATTCACCTGCCTTGCCGAGGCTGGTCTGGAACTCCGGGGCTCAAGCGATTAACCCACCTGGGCCTCCCAAAGTGCTGGGATTACAAGCATGAGCCATCGCACCCAGCCTAACCACCTGGCCCCCCCCTTTTAAAAAAAAAAAAAAAAAAAGGAAGGATAATTTAGTTTCAGAGCAATTCAGTTAGACACTGGAATAATAGGAGACCTAGTCAATAACCCACATTCATTTTTGTTCACTCCAGATTCAATAAAATAAAAACTTCTTACTAAATGTAGGCATTAACATTTCAGTCTCCTCGAGACATGCTCCAAGTGAATGTTTTCAGAAGTTCCATTCAGAGCCCTTGTCTCATTCTCTACCTTTGATTCATTACAGACGCTTCATCAGTCTTTATCCCCGGCATCTTCCCCCAAAGGAACCATTGAAAACATTTTGGACAACGACCCAAGGGACCTTATAGGAGACTTCTCCAAGGTAATTGCAAGCAGAGCTGCTCTGGCAAGTGTAGGAGTGAGTGTGGGTATTTAGAACCCCACTCAGCCTGTCTCCCTCCCCAGGGTGGTTCCTGGCGTGCCTCCAAAAGGACACAGTTAAAGAATGTTAAAGATGGGGAAGCAAACTTAGTTTTCATGATCGGGTATATGTTGGTTTCTGAGACTGTAGATCTTGCTATTGCTGATGGGCAGTTTTAGGTGGGGAGCTGTCCACCAACCACCTTGATTATAACCTGAAGACCAGGCTTTCTGGGAACTGTGTTACTATAAAAATAGTAATTAGGCCGGGCGCGGTGGCTCAAGCCTGTAATCCCAGCACTTTGGGAGGCCGAGGCGGGTGGATCACGAGGTCAGGAGATCGAGACCATCCTGGCTAACACGGTGAAACCCCGTCTCTACTAAAAAATACAAAAAACTAGCCGGGCGAGGTGGTGGGCACCTGTAGTCCCAGCTAATCGGGAGGCTGAGGCAGGAGAATGGCGTGAACCTGGGAGGCGGAGCTTGCAGTGAGCTGAGATCCGGCCACTGCACTCCAGCCTGGGCGACAGAGCCAGACTCCGTCTCAAAAAAAAAAAAACAGAAATTAGCAGGATAGTATAAAGCAGAAATAAATCTGTAGCCTCACTACAAGTCTGCATGTTGAAAGGTTATCTTAGAAGGTCCAGTATTGAGACTGAATTTCTCCATTGTTCAGAGAAGCTTGGCCACTGAGGGAAAAGGCCCTCTAGAAAGTCTAGAGGAAGATCTTCTAATAGCCTGATACGCTACATGAAGGCTTGGCTGCAGTAAAATATAAGGCTAGGACAGGGAATGTGTCAGTAGCAGCTTCTTTAATCACATTTTGACTTGAAAGTTACCAGATCAATGTGGTTTTTTTTTGTTTTTTTGTTTGTTTGTTTGTTTGTTTTGAGATGGAGTCTCGCTGTGTCGCCCAGGCTGGAGTGCAGTGGCTGGATCTCAGCTCACTGCAAGCTCCGCCTCCCGGGTTTACGCCATTCTCCTGCCTCAGCCTCCCGAGTAGCTGGGACTACAGGCGCCTGCCACCTCTCCCGGCTAGTTTTTTGTATTTTTCTTTAGTAGAGACGGGGCTTCACCATGTTAGCCAGGATGGTCTCCATCTCCTGACCTCGTGATCTGCCCGTCTCGGCCTCCCAAAGTGCTGGGATTACAGGCTTGAGCCACCGCACCCGGCCCAGATCAATGTTTTATTCATTAATTTAGTTAACATTTATTGAAGCACTTATGTGTTAGGCAGAAATTCCGAAATGAGACCCAGTTCCTTCCCTCAAAGAATTTAGCATGTGGTTGGAGAGGTAAGACATGAACTACATGTACCACATGGTAGACTGAAATAAATTTCAGTGAGGTGTAAACATAAACAGCAGTCCGTGAGAAGTAAAAGGGTTTGTCTTGGCTAGGGGGTTGGGAAACGTATGGGCTTGGGCCGTTGATATTTCAGCCTAAATGGGTTTCGAAGGAACAAGGAGAATGAAGAGAACAAGCAAAGACCCAGCTGCATCCTCAGTTTTGGAACCTTCTCTTATTTGGCGGGGAGAGATGTGGTCTTACTATGTTGCTCAGGCTGTAGTGCAGTGGCTATTCGCCCATGCTATCATAGTACACTGTAGCCTCGAACTTCTGGCCTCAAGTGCTCCCCCTGCCTCAGCCTCCCAAGTAGATGGGACTACAGGCATGCACCATCACACTCAGTGGAATTTTCGACTTGAATTGAGGCCTGGTTATGTTTGTCTTAATGGGCCTGTGCATGGGGATAGATGAACTCTTGACTCAGCCAGTCGCCCTAATGAGTAATGGCTAATGTGTGCATCTTCCTCCTCAAGGCTAGGCTAGGTCTCTTTTTTTCCTATCCCCAGTGCCTCGCACCATGCTGGACATAGCAGGTGCTCAGTAAATGAGTGAAATCTATATGTTTAAGTGCTGTTCACAGTCTCTAACTACTGACATGTGGATTCTTGACAAAAGCAGGAGGAAAATGAGGTTACCTGAGGTTTCTTTATTTAAATATGCCTTACTAGCTAGGTAACATTGAATACGGTGCCCAAAACGGGGATAATATACCTTATTGGTTTGTGTGAAAATTAAATATCAAGATGTTAATGAAGTAACTAGAAGAGTAACTAGTGTGTACTAACTAATTGTTTGCTTGTTTGTTGGTTGGTTTTTTGAGACGGAGTCTCGCTCTTGTCACTGAGACTGGAGTGCAGTGGTGCAATCTCAGCTCACTGCAACCTCCGCCTCCCGGGTTCAAGCAATTTTCCCGCTCTAGCCTTCCGAGTAGCTGGGACTACAGGTGCGTGCCACCACGCCTGGCTAATTTTTGTATTTTTAGCAGAGATGGGGTTTCACCATGTTGGCCAGGCTCATCTCGAACTCTTGACCTCAGGTTACCCACCAGCCTCGGCCTCCCAAAGTGCTGAGATTATAGGTGTGAGCCACTGCGCCTGGCCATTAATGTTTGTTTTTTAAAAGGTGCCTCCTACCAGCCAGACAAACAGTGTGAGTGTGAATTTATATGGGCTTTCAGATTCTCTTAGTATCTTTTTTTCTTTTTAAGGGTTACCTGTTTCATACAGTTGCTGGGAAACATCAGGATTTAAAATACATCTCTCCAGAAATTGTAAGTCCATCCTTTTGGAACCTACCACACATCAGGTACTTGAATCTAGTTTTTCCTCATGGTCAAAGTTGATTCTCCTTGGTTTTCTCTCAACAGATGGCATCTGTTTTGAATGGCAAGTTTGCCAACCTCATTAAAGAGTTTGTTATCATTGACTGTCGATACCCATATGAATATGAGGGAGGCCACATCAAGGTATGGATTCCTGAGACTTGCTGTAGAAGGAGCCCTAAACAGGATCTGTGGTTTTAAAGTGGGGAGGACAGTGACACCTGGCCGCTTAGCTCATATGCTAGTTGTTAGAATTTTGAAACAATGCAGTGAGCGTGGAAGGCATTTGATTCTGGGTGCTCTTAACGAATGTTCCCTTGTCTGCAATACTCTCTACCACCTTGTGCGACAGTTACTCTTCATGTTTGTCCCTCACACCATCATTATCAAGGGCACCTGTAGGAGGTACCCACTGATGTTTAAGTCATTCAAGGGGACCAGAATGGGTTTCGTAGCATTTAAGAGGCTTGGGTACCAATGTCTGAGCACCCCAGGGCTCCTGACGAGAAGAAGCCCATCTCTGGCAACATGTCCCGGTGTCTGTGCCAGGCTTAGTGATGCCTCCAAAGTTGATTGTTCAGCAGGCTGCCTGGTTGAGGGGCGTGTTGGGACACACGTTCCCAAGAATAAAGGAACTGATTTTGCCATTTTAATCTTTTTTTTTTTTTTTTTTTTTTGGAGACAGAGTCTCGCTCTGTCGCCAGGCTGGAGTGCAATGGCATGATCTCGGATCACCGCAACCTCTGCCTCCTGGGTTCAAGCAATTCTCCTGCCTCAGCCTTCCAAGTAGCTGGAACTACAGGCGCACACTGCCACGCCCAGCTAAATTTTTTTAAATTTTTATTTTAGTAAAGACGGGGTTTTACCATGTTGCCTGGGCTGTTCTCGAACTCCTGAGCAATCTGCCCACCTCAGCCTCTCAAAGTGCTAGGATTACAGGCATGAGCCACAGCACCTGGCCTGCCATTTTAATGCTTTACCCAATTAATAGTGTTTAAATATAGTAAGGAGGTACGTTAAATATGATGTTACTGTTTGCCATTGTCTTGTAGCTTTTGAAAATCCCCAAATTTATAAAACTACCTATAAAGTGTACCATAGTCATATTTGAATTGCCCATTTCCAGTCCCCATGTGCATTACTGTATGACAAATGTGTACCCTCAAAGCTCCATTGAGATACAGGTGCCAGATGGTCTACTGGGCTATTCAGCCGGAAAAACTGAAAAAATCACAAACTGGTCTTGTGGACTTAAAGATCATTTTTGTTGAATCATTACATCCTGCTGAATCATTACTTCATGTGTGAAACATGCAGGTTCCAAGGGTCTCTGTTGTCTTCATAGGGTGCAGTGAACTTGCACATGGAAGAAGAGGTTGAAGACTTCTTACTGAAGAAGCCCATTGTACCTACTGATGGCAAGCGTGTCATTGTTGTATTTCACTGCGAGTTTTCTTCTGAGAGAGGTCCCCGCATGTGAGTGCTGCATGGAACTGGGTTCTGGGGCAGAGGCTCCATGTTGCTTTTGTGGGACATGGTGGTTTGTGGCTTGCACTTGGAGCATATTGTAGCATATCAAGCAGTCTCTTGCACATAACAAGCCATTTTCATATGTAATTTTATCCTGAGGTGAACTTTGGCTCTTCCAGTCTCCCCGACTGTCCTTAGTCTGACCTGTGAGGCTACTGTTCATGTGACCTCCTTCAAGTATAAAGTAACCATTCCTTATGCAAATGCCAGAAAAGTGTGAAGACCTGATATGATATGATGCTTTGAAACACTTGATATTATTACCAATTTCAGGGTGAAAAAAAGGGGGCAAAGAGCTGCCCATCAGTCATTGTGTCCATTTTAAAAGGATTGTAAGCCTGGTATGTATCAGGCTCTGACAATAAAAATGTAACTACAGTAAAGCACAGTACAGTATAAATACCACAGCGAGCAGGACCAACAAGGACCCTGTTGCAGCAGAGATCCAAGTGGGGATCCATATAAATGCTAAGAAAACAGGAGGACAGGCAGAGAGGTGGGACAGAGAGTGCAGCTTAACTAGGATGGTTCAAGGGAGGATCACTTGCTAAAGTTTCAGACCAACCTCGGTAACACAGTGGGACCCCACCTCTATGAAAAATAGGAGGTGGGAGGATCGTTTGAGCCTGGCAGGTTGAGGCTGCAGTGAGCCATGATCATGCCACCGTACTTCAGCCTAGGTGACAGAGTGAGACTCTGTCTCTCTGTCACACACACACACACACACACACACACACAGAGGTTGTACTTGCATATACTTCACCTGATTTTATTAATTGTTAACATTTTGTCACATTTGTATGTACATGCTCTACACACAGGCAACTACAGTAGAACTTGACACTTTTTAACTGTCATAAGTCCTTCAAACATCTGTCTCCAAAGGATGGTCATTCATGAATGGAATTATTCACTCACCAGATTTTTTTTTTTTTTGAATGTAGTCTTGCTCTGTCACCCAGACTGGAGTGCAGTGGTGCGATCTCGGCTGACTGCAACCTCCACCTCCCGGGTTCAAGCAATTCTCCTGCCTCAGGCTCCCGAGTAACTGGGACTACAGGCGCATGCCACCATGCCCAGCTAATGTTTTTATTTTTAGTAGAGACAGGGTTTCGCTATGTTGGCCAGGCTGGTCTCGAACTCCTGACCTCAAGTGATCCACCTGCCTCAGCTTCCCAAAGTGCTGGGATTACAGGCCTGAAACAAACTAGACACACATACACATACATATAAATTTTTTTAAAACCCACAAAAGATGCTGTTCTCTCTCTCTTTTTTTTATTTTTGAGACAGGGTCAGTTTCTGTTGTCCAGGCTGGAGTACAGTGGCAGGAGCACAGCTCACTGCAGCCTCTGCCTCCCAGGCTCAAGTGATTCTCCCACCTCAGCCTCCCAGGACCACAAACATGCATCACCACAAACATGCATCACCATGCCTGGCTAATTTTTATATTTTTTGTAGAGACAGGGTCTCACTGTGTTGCCCAGGCTGGTCTCAAACTCCTGGGCTCAGGCAATCCTGGCCTCCCAAAGTGCTTGGATTACAGGTGTGAGCCACCATGCCCAGCTCAAAAGATGCTATTCTCTCAATTCTCTCATTTCCCCATCTTCCTCTTTAACAACCTCTAATATAAAGGACATTATTATACCATATTAAAACTTCACCTGGATATACAGACAACGCCCCATCTCTGTATTCTGCATTTGCAAGCTGCATGTTTATATTACCATCTACAGATATCCCTTACACTTCGTTCCCCACTTGAGTTTCACCATCACTGGCTTTCTGTTAATCCACTGAGGAAAGATTTGAGAATCACAGGTGAACTGTGTTTGTTTTTTTTTTTTTTGAGACGGAATCCTGCCCTGTCGCCCAGGCTGGAGTGCAGTGGCGCTATCTCGGCTCACTGCAGCCTCCGCCTCCCGGGTTCAAGCGATTCTCCTGCCTCAGCCTCCCAAGTAGCTGGGATTACAGGCGCCTGTCACCACGCCCGGCTAATTTTTTGTATTTTTAGTAGAAACGGGGTTCCACTATCTTGGCCAGGCTGGTCTTGAACTCCTGACTTCGTGATCCACTGCCTCAGCCTCCCAAAGTGCTGGAATTACAGGTGTGAGCCACCGTGCCCAGCCGAACTCGTTTTAACCACAGGCAAATGGTTTAAGTTACGTCCTGCTGAGGAAGCTGCTGCCCATCCCTCATGACTAGAGCAGCTACCGTAGGCCCCAAACCACTGAGCTTCAAGAGAAAATCAGTAGATACTCTCTTGGCTCTTGTGTACCAGATACCTTTCTAGATATTGAGGGAGAAGAGCAGTGAACAAAACAGACCAAAAATCTCTGCCTTCATGGAACTTACATTTCAGAGTGGACAGGAGTTCAAGAACAGCCTGGCCAACATGGTGAAATCCTGTCTCTACTAAAAATACAAAAATTAGCCAGGCGTGGTGGCGGATACCTGTAATCCCAGCTACTTTGGAGGCTGAGGCAGTAGCATCCCTTGAACCCAAGAGGCAGAGGTTGCAGTGAGCTGAGATTGTGCCAGTGCACTACAGCCTGGGCGTCAGAGTGAGACTCCGTCTCAAAAAAAAAGGTTACTGGGCGCGGTGGTTCACTCCTGTAATCCCAACACTTTGGGAGGCCAAGGCAGATGGATCGCAAGGATCACCTGGCCAACATGGTGAAGCCCCGTCTCTACTAAACATACAAAAATCAGCTGGGCGGTGGCACGCGCCTGTAGTCCCAGCTGTTCGGGAGGCTGAGTCAGGAGAACTGCTTGAACCCGGGAGACAGAGATTACAGTGAGCCTGAGATCACGCCCTTGCACTCCAGCCTGGTGACAGAGCGAGATTCTGTCTCAAAAAAAAGGTGCTTCAGAGCAAAATAAGGCCAGTGGTGGGAGCTCCCAGGCAGGCTGGAGAAACAGTAGTGGGGCCGCAGGGACTCACGTGGGATGAACAAGGGGCAGAGCAGCAGTAGGGGTGATGAGCTGTAGGCCTCTGAAGGACTTGGGGCCTCGGGCTTTTTCACCAAGGGCGAGGCAGTAAGCAGCCATTGGCTGGATATTGAAGACCGTTCAGTTCAGGTAGAGGATAGAAACAGGGCCCTGAGGCAGGAGCAAGTTCAGCCTCCTTAAAAGGCACAGAAAGAAGCCCACTTATGTAGAAGGAGGTGAGTGAGGGAGCCTAGCTGAAGAGAAGGCTGGGGTGGAGAAAGTAAGGGGAAGCTGGCTTAGATAGTGAAACTGTTGCTACAAACTGGTGGTGAAGGTGCTGGGCCGGACTCAGACGCTAGGGCTGTTGGAGAAAGGAAAGTTGGGGAAGAGACCATCTACTGGCACTGGCTGTGAATGCTGCTTACGTGGCCAGGAACTTGCAACTTAGCACTGATTGTTTCTAAGAATAAATGTAAAGTTGGGAAGATGTGTATAAGGGGGACTTAGACCACAACTGCTACTTTGACTGCATTGCCTGGGTGTTGCTCTGTGCTGGAAAAGCTAACCCTACTTTGGCCTTCCTTCCCCTGACTAGGTGCCGGTACGTGAGAGAGAGAGATCGCCTGGGTAATGAATACCCCAAACTCCACTACCCTGAGCTGTATGTCCTGAAGGGGGGATACAAGGAGTTCTTTATGAAATGCCAGGTAAGACTGGGACTGTGGAGAGCATCCCTCCTCCCCTTACCCCAGTGGTAGACTAATGGATCTATCTGGCGGTCATGACTTTCTTTCCAGGGGGTGGGTATCTGCTGAACACAAAGAAAGCCCCTGTAGAACTGGCCGCCCAGGTCTGCCTGGCCGCTTTCAGCCTTGTAACCCTAGGCAGAGAGGAAACCAGGTTGTGAGTGTGAGGCAGGTGTACTCTAACCTCATGCTCTCTTGTCCCCTCAGTCTTACTGTGAGCCCCCTAGCTACCGGCCCATGCACCATGAGGACTTTAAAGAAGACCTGAAGAAGTTCCGCACCAAGAGCCGGACCTGGGCAGGGGAGAAGAGCAAGAGGGAGATGTACAGTCGTCTGAAGAAGCTCTGAGGGCGGCAGGACCACCCAGCAGCAGCCCGAGCTTCCCTCCGTCCCCCTTTACCCTCTTTGCTGCAGAGAAACTTAAGCAAAGGGGCCAGCTGTGTGGCATTTGGAGAGGGGGCCTGGGACTTCCATGCCTTAAACCTACCTCCCACACTCCCAAGGTTGGAGCCCAGGGAATCCTGCTGGCTACGCCTCTTCTGTCCCTGTTAGGCGTCCTCCGTCCATATCAGAACTGTGCCGCAATGCAGTTCTGAGCACCGCGTCAAGCTGCTCTGAGCCACGGTGGGATGAAGCAGCCGGGGCCTTTTCGGGCTCCAGCCATCTCATGAGGGGAGAGGAGATGGAGGGGAGTAGAGAAGTTACACAGACAGAAATGCTGCTGGCCAAATAGCAAAGACAACCTGGGAAGGAAAGGTCTTTGTGGGATAATCCATGCCTTTAATTTATTCAACTTCATCAATCACTTTATTTTATTTTTTTTCTAACTCCTGGAGACTTACTTTACTGCTTCATTAGGTTGAAATACTGCCATTCTAGGTAGGGTTTTATTATCCCAGGGACTACCTCGGCTTTTAATTAAAAAAAAAAAAAAGAAAAAGAAGGGGGTAAGAAAATATAAACCTGTTATAAGTTATGGGACAGAAAGCTAGGTGCTCTGTTACCCCCAGGAAGTGCTGTGGTACTGGGGCTGCTGCTATTTAAGCCAAGAACTGAGGTCCTGGTGAGAGCGTTGGACCCAGGCTTGGCTGCCTGACATAAGCTAAATCTCCCAGACCCACCACTGGCCACTGAGATCAATTTGGTGGGAGATGTGGCCCTGTTCTTCCTCACCCCAGTTCCATGACATTGGCTGGTATAGGAGCCACAGTCAGGAAAGCACTTGAGGCAGCGTCCAGGGCCACCCCTAGCTCAGTGCTGGAATGTTGCAGTGTAGGTTTCCCAGGGAAGGGGGGTGGGGCTGGGTGGGCTCCACAGGATGGGGGAGGAGCATGTCCACTGAGTGTCTTCCTTATGTTGCTGTGATATTGTTTGATAGCTTTTATTTTCTAATTTTTTAAAAATGGTCATATTATGAGTCAAAGAGTATCAAATCAGTGTTGCATGGGCCACCCAAGGGTGAGGAGAGGGGCTGGAAGCCCTGGGCATTAGGAGAAGGGAGTGGGTGCTGGCATGGACATGACTGGATAGAATTTTCTCAGGAGGGAGCTTGGTGGATTTTGAAGGTAAAACTTTCTGGGTTTATCATGTTTTAATTTGAGAGACAGGGAGTGATGAATCATCACCGGTTGTCCCTTATCTAACCCCATAGACGTGGGGATTTCAAAAGAGCACCTCATCCAAGGAGCTGGGGCTGACTTCATTGATTCTAGAGAGGCCTGTTTCAGTGCCTACTCATCCCCACCCTCTGGTGCCAGCCTCCTTACCATCACGGCTTCATTGAGGTGTAGGCAGTTTTTTCTTAAAACGAGACAGCCTCTCCCCTTACCTCAACTTCCTATTCTTGGGGTGGGGGGGTGGGAATCAAGTGATACTGGAGATAGCTAGTTGCTGTGTTATGGGTTTGAGTTACATTTGGCTATAAAACAATCTTGTTGGGAAAAATGTGGGGGAGAGGACTTCTTCCTACACGCGCATTGAGACAGATTCCAACTGGTTAATGATCTTGTTTGTAAGAAAGAGATTCTGTTGGTTGAGTGCCTGAAGAGAAAGGTGGGATGGCCTTCAGATTATACCAGCTTAGCTAGCATTACTAACCAACTGTTGGAAGCTCTGAAAATAAAAGATCTTGAACCCATGCTCTCTGCCTAGTTCTTGATGGATTTAAGGAGAATTACATTTCCCTTTAAGGTCCTGGGACCTCATTAGCTAAAATTATTGTTTTGGATAGCCACATTTCCTCAAGAAGCTCTCTAAGTCCAAAAACTTGTGGTTCAGATTGATTTGCAAGATGAAATGGGTGCATAAAAAGCGTGCCTGTGGCCAGCTGCAGTGGTTCATTCCTGTAATCCACGCACTTTTGGAGGCCAAGGCAGGCAGATCACATGAGGCTGGGAGGTCGAGGCTGCAGTGCCCACACACAACTAGGGATGCTGGGGGCTATTGGGGGCAAAATATATTGGTCTGAAGCACAGGGGCACCCAGAATAGAAAACGTGTTCCTTTATGTATGTGTTGGAAAACTAGGGGTTCAGACATATTTGATTATATTATATATACAGATATTTTTTTGAGACAGTCTCTTGCCCAGGCTGGAGTGCAGTGGTGTGATCTTGGCTCACTCCAGCTTTCAACCTTCCAGGCTCAAGCAATCCTCCCACCTCAGCCTCCCAAAGTGCTGGGTTTACAGATGTGAGCCACCATGTTTTTTAAAGTTTACTTTTAGCAGGTAGTAGTATTTCCCTGGATTGCTGCAAAGGCCAGCTGGCTTCCTGTCTGACCTGTCCTTCCTAAAATTGCAAATTAAGTCAACCCATTCTTGATAATTTAATGGTTTTTTTGTTGTTGCCTATAAAATGAAACTTGACCTCTTTAGACAGTATGCTAAGATGCAACCTCAGCCTTAGTTCAATTTATGCTCCACTATCAGGTAAGGATTCTGTTTTCTAGAATGCCCCTGCTCTCTGAAACTTGCTTGCTAGAGCTGGAAGTCTGCCATGCAGAAAGTTTGCATTTACTATAGAAAAATTTATGTGTGGACACCCACAAGATCAAGAGTTGGTTAACTCAAAACCATGGGCAAAACTTAACTCACTTTAAATTTTGGGGATAACTATTCCATTCAAGGTGTGATCTGATTCAGATTTAAAAATTTTAAAGTATGCAAAGATGTACAAAAAACCACTCATTTCACACACCAGCTTAAGAACAAACAGCTTAGCTGAAGCCCCTTGCCTACCCTGACTTCATAAACTCTTCAGCTGCACCCAGCTCCCATAAGTTAACCCTTATCCTTACTGGTCTTACAATTATTTCCTAAGCAAGAAGATAGATTTCAGATATTTTTTCCTTTTTTTTTTTTTTTTTTTTTTTTTTTTTGAGACGGAGTTTCACTCTGGTTGCCCAGGCTGGGGTGCAATGGTGCGATCTTGGCTCACCACAGTCTCCACCTCCTGGGTTCAAGCGATTCTCCTGCCTCAGCCTCCCGAGTAGCTGGGATTACAGGCATGCGCCACCACACCCAGCTAATTTTGTATTTTTAGTAGAGACAGGGTTTCTCCATGTTGGTCAGGCTGGTCTCGAACTCCCAACCTTGTGTGATCCATCTGCCTTGGCCTCCCAAAGTGCTAGGATTACATGTGTGAGCCACCATGCCCGGCCTCATGTTTTCAAACTTTACAAATTGTGCAGCTATAGTCCCAGCTACTTGGGAGACTGAGGCAGGAGGATTGCTTGAGCCCAGGAGTTCAAAACCTGCCTGGGCAATATAGTGAGACCCCATCTTTAACACAAAACAATCTCCATTATGTGCTTATTCATCTGTGACTCACTTTGATTTTTATTTCTCTGCTTATCACAAGGGCACTTGGCTCGAGAAAGGGCAAAGCATGAATCAATAGTGACTCAGGTTACATCTCTCCAGCAGAGGAATCTGGAGTTGTCACTTTTCCTTCTGGGGCCTTTCTTCATAAATAACAAATGCATTTGAACTAGATTTTCCAGCCAGGTGCAGTGGCTCATGCCTGTAATCCCTGCATTTTGGGAGGCTAAGATGGGCAGATAGTTTGAGCCCAGGAGTTCTTGACCAGCCTAAGCAACACGCCAAAACCCCGTAACTACTAAAAATACAAAAAATCAGCCAGGTGTGGTGGTGCATGCCTATTGTCCCAGACACTCAAGAGGCTGAGGTGGGAGGATTACCCGAGCCCAGGGAAGTCAAGGCTGCAGTGAGCTAAGATTGTTCCACTGTACCCCAGCCTGGGTGACAGGAGTGAGACTCTGTCTGGAAAAAAAACAAAAACAAAAACTAGATAACTAGATGTTCTCTGTGACTGCCCTGTCCCAACATACTGTGGCTCTGGCATTTGGATGGCCCCTTTGCAATACCCACTTCAAATCTACTTGGAAGGGCCTCCATGGAGGAAAAGCTGTTTCTCTCATTCAATAAACATTTGACTTGTGCTGAGCACTGAGGATAAGGAAGTGTGTAAGATGCAGGCTTTGTCTCAAGGCGTTCACTGGCTAGTGGGAGAAACAGTTGCTAAAAATGACAAGGTCTTAGGTGTAACATTTCCGTGTAACAGAAGCTAGGATAGAGAGGGGTCCAGAGGACATGGGGCTCCAGAGCAAGAAGTGGACCCCATAGGAGGCGATGTTCAAATCTAACCTTCAGCAGGAGTCTCACGAGACAGGGTGTTCCAGGAAAAAGAAACTGTGTTTAAAGGGCAAATACCATGCATTCATACCTGTGGACAAGGTAGGAGAAGTTTTTGGTGGCGGGGGGGCGGGGAACCCTGAATGCCGTTCCAAGGAGTCTATAAGCCTCCGAGAGCAGGACTTGTCAAACACGTGGGCAACTTGTTAAAATGCAGATTCTGATTCCACAGCTCTGGGTCGCAGCCTGAGGTTCTGCATTTTTAACAAATTCTCAAAGCTGCTGATCCTTTTGCTACCCTTTGAGCAGCCAGCCTATAGAGGGTTTAAGAAGGGAGAAGTGTGAAGCCGTGTAATTGTTGAGAGCAAGACAAAGATAGATGATGGGTAAGGAATGATGATATAGTCGCAGCAGAAGCTGGGGCATGGGAGGGAAGAGCATTAGGCGCTGGGATCTGGTGATGGATGGGTAGGTGGGAGTGAGGGAGAGGGATGGATTCAGGATGGTCTCTTGGCTCCTGACCTGAGGAAGTGGCTGGGCCACTGGCACCCAAAGCAAGAAATCAAGAAATACACGGCCAGGCATGGTGGCTCACGCCTGTAATCCCAACACTTTGGGAGGCTGAGGCAAGTGGATCACCTGAGGTCAGGAGTTCAAGACCAGCCTGACCAACATGGTGAAACCCCGTCTCTACTAAACACAAAAAATTAGCTGGGTGTGGTGGCGCATACCTGTAATCCCTGCTACTTGGGAGGCTGAGGCAGGAGAATTGCTTGAACCTGGGAGGTGGAGGTTGCAGTGAACCAAAAATGCACCATTGCACTCCAGCCCGGGCAACAAGAGCGAAACTCTGTCTCAAAAAAAAAGAAAAAAAGAAATACACAAGGAAAGGAAATATTGAAAAAGCCCAAGTTGAACTTTATAAAATTACTGGCCTGCATGTTTTATAAATATCAGTGTCATACATGACCAAAGAGAGGCCCAGGAACTGGTCCAGATTAAAGGAGACTCAAGAGACATGACAACTAAATGAAATGTGTGATCTTGGATGGGATCCTGGACCAAACCGAAAAAAAGTACTATAAAGGACATTTTTGGAACATTTGACTACATTGAAATATGAACTTTAATTAGGTAAAATTATTATTATTATTTTGAGACAGAGACTTGCTTGTTGCCCAGGCTGGAGAGAAGTGGTGTGATCTTGGCTCACAAGCTCGGCTGCCTGTGGTGGGACATATGTGACTGGCGACCTTGGGACACAAAGCCTGCCCATGCTAGGGTAGGGTGGAGGAGGGACAGGGAGGCAAGGCAGAAACAGCAGCAGAGGAAAACTGGGTGGCCCACCTCTGGGTGGCATGGGGATCCATGCTCAGCCCCTCCTGTATGACTTGGACCGTGGGCAGGCGGGGATCGGCCATCCGGTCGGGAAACCCCTCTAAAAAAAAAAAAACTGCGGGAGTGGGGCCTGTAGCACTCGGGGCTGAGGGGAGGGTGCCCGGGGGGGTGCAGTGGTGGATCTGCACTGCACTCAGCCTGGTACAGCACAAGACTCGTTCAAAAAAAAAAAAAAAAAAAAGATCTTGGTCATTCCGATATCTAAGCAATGACTCCTGGAAGTTGTGCAAAGCCCAGTCCAGAGCCCCTGCTTGCACACTCCCAAAACAGAGGCGGCAGTCCCTTCCAGTGCTGGCCAGAGCAGGGCAGCTCTTCCGCAGGCAGAGTCAAATCCACTCCTCCATACTGTGGCTACTTTGTACATGTTGATTCATTTTCCATTTATGTTTTGTTTAGTTTTTCAATATGGATGTTTTTCTTCAATATGAAGTATCTCAGACATACAAAGCACCCACGTACCCACTGTCAAGGGTAAATAAAAACTTCCACCCATACGCTTTCTTTGCCCTCTTGTTTCACTCTGCTCCCAGGCTGCCCGCGGGGCTTGGGGCTGTGACCACTGCAATGGCCATAGGAAGACATCAGATGGCAGTGGCGCCCCAGGTTTGTCTCTTCAGGTATCTCTGCCTTCTAGCTCCTCTCCTCCAGAGCCAGTCAGTAACTGGGAAGAGCTGGGGGCTCTCCAGGAGCTTCCCACCCCTTCCCCTGCCCTGGCTTCCAGCTGCATTTAATGGCACTTGACCTGCTCTGAGTACAGGCAAAGCTGTGGCTGTTCCTTGTCCAAGCTGCAGTTCCCAATGGCCTAGTCCAAGTGTGCGTGTCATGCAGTGCAAGGGCTCCCAAAGGGGAAAAAAGGGAAGAGGGCTGGTTTGGATTATTAGCATTTTGTATTTTTAATAAATGCATCAATGTGGTCACCATGGAAAAATGTCAGACCTTTGTTGGGTTTCTTTACACTTCCTTCCTAGTTTACTTTGGATGACGCAGGGTGGGTCATAGGCCTTAACCTTCTCGAGCACAGCCTCTTTCCCCTGGCCACTTCCTAGACTCTAATGAAGAAATAAGGCCTACTTTCTGATTCCGATCT